AATTTCACGGAAAAGGTTGGGCAGCGTACTATCGATGGATGTTCTCTTCTTGGCCTCGATTGTGTATGGAGAAATAATGTGTTGTGATAGCAATCTAGTCCTCTTGCTAATCATTTACTCTGGCACGTCAATAACATGTTTCTTATAGAGTGTCACTTCCATTGCCTTCTCTAGCATAATTATCACATCATCCAAACTCGCGACATTATCTATCAAATTGGGGGTCCTCTCCGGCAGACTTATGTATATTATTTATTTAATATTTAATTACTTTGTTCAATTATTTCATTAATCACTTAATTAAATAAAAAATTAATATTTAATTTAATTTCTTATTTAGATATTTCATTTATAAATTATCTTAATTGGTTGTGTATATAATGTACTTAATATTTCATTACCTTATTTAAATAAATTTTACAATATATTCAATTATCTCATAAATATAAAAACACAATTATTACAATTATTTCGTCCCCTCCATCGACACCTCTCACATCTCCACTGACATTGATAATGATTCTAATGAAACATTTGTGTATATCCCTACCCCTCCAGCGCTACCCTCATTGTCACCATCTCCGCCAATTCTCTGTTATTGTTTGGGACCCCCATCGCCCGTCGACTGTATTTCATTGGATATGACTCTAACCCTCTTCCTCGATTAACGGTGTCAGCTCAATGAGCAATTGAAGCTAACATATTAACATTTCATTGAGTTAATGATCATGCATCAAGATTTCGAAATAATGTACAACATAAAATCACAAATGAATAATATGTACCTTAGGATCGTCGAGGAAAGTTGATAAGTGTCAGCTCTTTTCCCATAGATAGTTGTTGAATGTGTCAATGTCATCAACAACCTCCAAATGAAATACGTTGATCGACGTCTTCTTGTGATGACACCTTAATATGCTTTCTACAGTATAAACAACATCCCCAACTTTAACTTGTCAAATATATCGTTGCATTCCCTGAATATGTCTCCTAACTGTGCCATTGTTATTTTACTTATTTAAATTGTTTATCTAATATTTAATGGTTAATTATTTATTTAAATTGTTCATTTAAATTATTTATTCAATATTTAAATGTGTATTTAAATTATTTATTTCATTTGTTTAGTTGTTTATTTAATATTTATTTTAATTGTTAATTGAATGTTTAATTGTTTATTTTAAATGTTAATTATTTATTTTAATTGTTTATTTAATATTTAATTACTTATTTTTATTATTTATATTTATGGTTCATTTAAATTATTTATTTAATAATTAAAAGTTAATTATTTATTTCAATCGTTTATTTAAATTGTTTAATTACTTATTTAAATTACTTATTTTTTTATTTTTTATATTTATTGTTCATTTAAATTATTTTTTTAATATTTAAATGTTAATTGTTTATTTCAATTGTTTATTTAATATTTAATTAGTTATTTTTATTATTTATATTTATGGTTCATTTAAATTATTTATTTAATACTTAAATGTTAACTATTTATTTCAATTGTTTATTTAAATTGTTTAATTACTTATTTTTTAATATTTATGTTTATTGTTCATTTAAATTATTTATATAATATTTAAATGCTAATTATTTGTTTCAATTGTTTATTTAATATTTAATTACTTATTTTTATTATTTGTATTTATGGTTCATTTAAATTATTTAATGCTTAAATGTTAATTATTTATTCAACAGTTTATTTAAATTGTTTAATTACTTATTTAAATTACTTATTTTTATTATTTATATTTATGGTTCATTTAAATTATTTATTTAATACTTAAATGTTAATTATTTATTTCAATTTTTAATTACTTATTTTTTATTTATTGTTCATTTAAATTATTTATTTAATATTTAAATGCTAATTATTTATTTCAATTGTTTATTTAATATTTAAGTACTTATTTCAACTATTTTTTTATTATTTATATTTATTTGTTATTTATGTTAATTAATTATTTTTATTTCTTAATTAATATTTAATTTACTTCCTTATTGAATTTATTTCAATTAGTTATTTATCATTTCAATTAATTTATTATTTCAATTAGTTATTTATTATTTACTCAAATAAACAATATACATAAATAATTAACATAATTCATGAAATATTTAAATAAACAAATAAAGTATAAAATAAATAATTATATATTAAACAAATAATATACTTAAACAATTAAATTAATTACTTAAAAGTTTAAATAAACAATTAAATTAAATATTGATTTATTAAATTATTTATTTAGTACTTAATTTAATTAATTATTTAAATATTTCATTAATTATTTTAATTGGTTATGTATATTGTTTGTTTAATATTTAATTACTTATTTTAATTGTTTATTTCATATTTATTTACTTCATTTAATTATTTATATTAATTTCTTATTTATTTTAATTGTTTATTGAATATTCAATTGTTTATTATATTTATTTCATTATTTATATTATTTATATTTTAAATAAAATGAAATAAAAGACAATTAATTATTTTACTTAAATAAGCATTTACATAATTTATGAAATATTTATAAACAATTAAATTCAATATTATGAAAAAAATGGCTGACATAGGGCAATCCAAACTGCTGGCCCCTGCCTGGATCCAGACGTCTTGACCGTTTGGACCCAGACGGGGCCAGCCGTTTGGATCCAGACAGTGATGTCGTTGCCGCCTGAATCGTCTGAAAACTCAATTTTCGACGAGCTCCGTCCCTTTTTTTCACTTTTCTTAACCAATTCAACCTCAAATTCGACTTTTCCTTCTATTTTAACTATAAAAATTTGTACTAAACTCATAATTTAACATATTCAAATCTTAAACATTCAAATATTTATGTATTAAACTCAAACATTCAAATTTTCACATATGTTAGACCTTAATGGTGAGTAAATTACAAAGAAACAAATCTAATCTTTGAGAAATGGCGATCTCCAGCAATGGTTGAAATGGGTTTGGTTTAAGCGGTCCGTAGGTGGCGTCGGTTTCCCTTCTCTTAGTTTTCTCTTTCTTTCCTCTTCTCTTCTCTTTATTTGGGGGTATTTTCGACCCTTTAGGTATTGTTTACATTTTCAATTTTTTTTTTAATGAGATTTTTTGGGTCAAAGGCCATTTTTGAAAAATGGCAAAGTCGGGCAGCTATCTACCACCATTTCCTCGAAAAATTGATTGTAACTAGGAAAATTAAATAAGAGTATATTAATAAATGAATAAAACAAAATATTCTAAATTAAAAAACAAGACTATATATTTGGGTCTTGGGACAAGAAAAACGGAAAACTAAATCTATATAAATGGGACGGAAGGAGTATTTAATATATGAGTAAGAAAAATTTATAATTTCAACTATATTGATTATATTTTTTTAGTATAATTTCAACTATATTGATTATATTTTTTTAGTCTATATAAAAATAAAAATAAATCTATTTTCTGAAACGAATAAAGTATTTTATTTTGGACAATTCATCATTATGTTAATAGCAATAACCCACGTGTCCATCCACAAAGCAGCAACGAAATAGAAATAAACGTTTTGGAATTACAAACAATAGATTTCGATCTAATAAATCGTTATGTCAAAAAGTAGCAGCGCACTTTAGATGACAAGTGACATGACCTCTTGTTCTTTAATCCGAGTTTAGGTTTAAGCGTAATAAGACTAATGTTATGCCTTATCTGACAAAGCTCCAAGTATTGACCACATATAAGTTAGTTAACAAACTAAAAGCTTGTTTGGTACATATTACAAATCAACTAAAATTAATTTTTTGACCGTTATTTCACTATTTCAGTCATCATTTTTGAATTCTTCTCTCACAAGTATCAGGGGCGGACCCACATGGGGTCATGTGGGGTCAAATGACCCCACAGTTTTTTTTCCTTTTTTTTTTTTTTTTTTTTTTTTTTTAGACCCCCCTTTTTTTTTTCTTTTTTTTTTTTTTTTTTTTTTTTTTGCGTTTCTGCTCCTGAAAGAAAAAATTGGGTTTGGGGTTCCAAAATTGAATCAACCAATTAAATAAATAAGCACCAGCCCATTAGCCCAATTTAAATCCAATCCAATTTCTAAGAGGTAAAACCGAGTCCAAGAGACCAAGACCGGCAAGACGGTAAGACTTAAGAGCCCAATCCATTTCCCTGATTCCACTTCACCCCGTCTCCCCTCTCTGGCTGTGTTCGGCCCCTGCACTAACCCGTCTCCCAGCTCACTCTCCCCACTGCCCAGCGAACGCCGACCAGTGCAGTGACTGCAGTCCCCAAACAGCAGCGGCGCAGGCGGCAATCGTGAAGGGCGAAGCGTTCCTTTTCCAATTTCCACCGATTTCTGCAGTCAGCACTTCCACTTTCGGCTTTCGATCGGTAAGTTAATTTTGTAGGGTTTGCCGGTTTGGATGAACATATTAAATGAAATTGGATGATTGGATGAACACATTAAATGAAATCTTCATTATTTTGATTCATTGTCACCGACTCACACTCACAGTCACTGTCTCACTGATTTGGTCATTTTGGTGTGAAGTGAACCGTAATAGTGTAATACCGTATGATTGTATGAAAGTATGGAATGGAGTCATGGAATTTAAGTCACCTGTCACCGTATGGTATGGAATCTATGGATAAATGGATAATGGAATTGATTTTTTACAATTTGGGAAAAATCATTTACAATGGAATTGATTTCACTGCAGTGACTACTATGTACTGAGGTAGTGAGGTAACTGAGCTCAGTAGCTCACTGCTGCTGCTGGAAGCCTGGAAGTTCCTGGAGGCTGGAATTTAGAAGTTAGACCTCAATTCCAATTCCAATTCCAATTTCCAAGTAAGTAATGGCTGACTTTCTCTAATTTGGGGATTTATAATTGTTTATGGAATTCAATTAATTGTTGTTTATTATCAATTTAGTGTTATGCTTTGATGAAAACTGATATATGTTATTTATTTATTGATATGTGATTCTGTGTTGAATTTATTTTTTTTAACAGTCATGGAGAAATATTTTAAACGAAAATTCGAATGTTCAAGTGGAGAGCAAATTAATTCTGAAACGAGTGTTCAAAAAAAACAAGTTGTCCAAGAAGAAATAGAATCAAATACCGGGAGTCAAAGAGATGTTTGGGATAAAATTGATTTAGCAGAATTACCTTCGGATCCTGGATTAAGAACTCCAATTGCGAATTATAATGTTAATGTTCAGGATGAAATTCGAAGAGCATACGTACAAAAGGGTCCATGTCAGCCTCGAAATCACTTGTGTCCACAGAAAGAATTTGGAGATTCGTCGTTAAGACGATTTAAAACTTCATGGTTTAATGACTTTCCTGATTGGTTGGAATACAGTATAGCAAAAGATGCCATATTTTGCTTTTATTGTTATCTTTTCAAACCAAATAGTGAAGAACATGGTGGTGGTGATTCTTTTATTGATGGAGGATTCTCAAATTGGAAAAAGAAAGAAAGGCTTCAAATTCATGTCGGGAAAAGTGGTAGTGCGCACAATCGAGCTCGGATTAAGTATGAGGCTTTTGTGAATCAGAAACAAAATATTGATTGTGTTCTCTTTAAGAAGTCGAA